TGTTGTACTTCATATGGGGCCCACCCAGATGATGTTGCTTACGGGTCTATTGTTGTGTCGTTTCATCATTGGGTGACATGGCAGAGGAACCACACCTTTAAGTCTGCTCAAGTGTTTTTACTGGCTGATCTCAGAATCATACAGCTGCAAAATATTCCATCTGTTACGTTATCTGTCAGTTACAGGAATCCAGACATGTTAAACCAGGAAACCAACAAAGGACACTTCTAGCCCCCCTGCTAGGCCATTTAAAGCCCAGACCTATCAGTCACAGCAAGGGCTAAGATTTCCTGAACATTGGAGATGCCCCGGCTTTCCAAAGCAGAGGTTACAGATCTGGCAAAGTTATCATGTTCCATGTTTTACTGTAGAGTTAAATCATTTTTATCAGCACTGTTTATGCAACAGGGAAAAAAACTGAAGCTTTTCTTCACACTTTTATTGTGAAATCCTCTGAGGAAAACCGCCCAATAAGAAGCTTGTTCTTTAGATGTGCGCCAACTAAAACATAATCCTATTTCAATGTAAATATTCCAGAGTGATGCAAGAAAGAGCTGCAGGTCACAGTTAAACTGCACCCCGCTGATGTGTAAAAACTACTTAATAAAGTAGGCATTAAAACAACATAACCTCTGACTGAGCCCAGCTGCTCTGTAAACACGAGGGGAGCTGCAGAGGTGTGTGTTTGCTGCAGTCTTAGACCCCCTCCACAAGCTGCTGAGAGTGTAAACAAGCACGGAAAATCTCCCAGATCAAAAGTTTAATATCCTATCTGTGTTTGCTGGTGTCCTTTTTAGGAAAAAAAATTAAAACAGCATCTACACAGAGTTACAGCGGCGAAAATCCTCCCCCTTGTGTACACAGGATGTTCCTCCTCTCTCCAGTTGTCATGCAGCCTGTGTGGCTGGAAAATGGAAACTTATTTGCTCAATTAGAGGCTCCAGAGCCCCGTCTTGTTTTGATGAACTCTGAGTGTAAATAAAAATGTACATTAAACGAGTCTTTTTTTTTTTTTTCTGAGCAACATGCAGATGATGATGATGGTTTCTGTGTTTTAATCTCGTTGCTGTCTGCAGAAGGCCTCTGAGGAGGAATAAATGCTTCCATCAATTAGAGTGAAGACAGCCTTACAGACAACACTGAGGGGAAAGCTTTTAGCGGTGAGCCTCTTTAGCCTAAACGCCTTCAGATTTGGAGAATAAATCAAACTCTAACAGTTAAAAATGGTGGACGACACACAGTGCCTCATATTATCCCTTAAATGTTTTCTTAGGGCTAAATACAAGCCTGCAGGCCTAAATGAAGGTTAAATTAGCACCTAGCTGAAAATGGAAACAGTAGCTCTACTAGGACAGACCTGATCCCACAGAGCGGGCAATCAGAGCCTTAAATAGAGAAGCATCCAAGAAGCCCATGCTAACTCTGGAGGATCTGCAGAATCTCACAGCTTGGGTGGGAGGATCAGTCATCCATCCTGTGAAGTACTATTTACTGCGAACATGGAGCCCTGTGAGAAGCTGCTCTGCTCAGATCGGACCTTTTTTTTTCTCGGCCTGCATCCAAAACGCCATGCATGGCAGAGATCTAACCCTGGACATCATCCTGAAGACATCATCCCCGCTGTAAAGAATAAAGGTGGCCAAATATGATGGGGAGGCTTTTCTTTAGCAGGGAAAGAAAGCTGATCAGAGCTGAAGCTGCAGATTAAACTAAAAAGACTAGAGCTAGAGTGGCATCAATACATAATCATGTGTTTAAATGGCCTAGTCAAAGCCCGGGATTAAATACAGTAGAGCAGGGTTCTTCAATGTTTTCCAGGCCAAGGACCCCCAAACTGATGGCGAGATGGAACGGGGACCCCCTAATTATATATATGATATAAAATAGTGTTATATCAAACTGGTCCTATAGTTACTCTATTACAGATGGAGTAATGTAACTAAAGTAATTTCTCCCTGGGATTATTAAAGTATTTCTGATTGTGATTCCTGGTTGATGGGACAGGTGTTGTGAATGAAACGGTGCCCAGCTTGAAAGAGCTCCTGTGTGTCGCTGAATGTGTGCATTGATGACTGAAAGACATCTTCTGCTTCCATTTATCTGTTTACTAAAGTGTGTTCAATTCATGTTAATGTGGATTTAAAGGGGGGAATATAAAAAAAACAGTCTAATGAACCGAAACTTTTGTGACCCTCATGCAGTACCTCTATGGACCCCCTAGGGGTGGCAAACCCCCTGTTGAAGACCTCTGCAGTAGAGAATCTGTGGTGTGATGCTGTGGGCCTGATCTGACTGAGCTGCAGGTGTGAGACGAATGATCTTCCCATAGTTTTTAGAAAAGCAGAAATTTGTGTAAAAAGAATTGATCATTTTTCTCCCCCAGACAGAAGGCAGCGTTAACCCCCCCTCGATCACACGTGCTCTGCTGACCTTTCTCAGCAGGATGACGCCTTCCTGCGTGGTCCTGTTGGCGATGATGTCGAACATCCCCGGCCCGTCGCTCCCGATGATCCTGTACTCCATCTCCGCGTTGGGGCCGATGTCGGCGTCCATGGCGCGGACGATTCCCACCGTAGAGCCCAGCTCGTTGGACTCCAGCACCCGGAACTCGTACAGGGCTGCAGAGAGGGGAAAAAAGAAAAAAAAAGGTTGATCAGGTTAAGATTTTCAGCTAAATTGTAAAAGCATAAAGAGAAAATCCAAGGTTTGTGTGGTCATGACAACCGAGGTCACATCCTCTTTGCTTCTTCTTTGCTCTAAAGCCACAGCATGGTTATGGACCTTCTAAATTAATTCAATGGAGAAGAAAAAAACAAAACAACAAAACAAACAAAAAGCTTCCCTCCAAAAAGAGCTATTGACCAGAGAAAAATGTCTTTTTTTTGACCTTGTAAATGTGTAAAGAAGCGGCGTAAAAGGGTGAGACAGTTCAGGTCAGGGAGAAGGTGAGTGGGAGCAAATCAGAGCCCAGAGAAAAGCGTGTGAATAGATTTACTGCTGTTAGATTTGCAGATGAGCTGTAAAACATTCCCCGCTTCCAAAACTGACTCGCTACAAGCCCCATCGACTCTCCGAGTTCAGGAGGCAACATAAATTCAAGGCCAATTTGCTCAACATAAATTAATTGCCTCTTCTTGTTTTGATTTGTTAGTTGTTGTTTTTTTTTGTGTTGCTTTTATTTATTTCTTTTTTTTTTGCCAGATGATTTCCTGTTTGGAGGCCGGGCGGCGGATTGATGGTTGCATCTCGTATGCTTAAATGAATCGGCAGCAGAGAGCGGCTGTGATGTACGCGCTCGCAGCCTGCAGAGACAAACAGCACTGACACACTAATAAAACATGCTGACAGTGTTTTGGCAACGCCTGAGTCGGCAGGTCTGTGTGACACTTAACTCCAAACACATTCGCTGAAAGGGGGGGGGTTCTGTGAGAAGGTTTCCCTGAGGCTAACAGGTATTTAGCATCAGGAGGAGAAGAAGAGGCATCACTCTGGCAGACAACAATGATATCGCTTCCTGACACTCTTCCTCCTCTGGGTGTCCCGCTACAATCTCTCCTCCTCTTTCTCTGTTCCCGTTTTATTTTAGTTTTTTGGTCCGTCCTCTCCCTCCATCTTTCTTTCAGCGTGGAAACGTCAGGATCGGCCTACAGGCTTCCTGCACATATAGATCTAAAATAAGTCCCCTGTCTCTTTTTGTCTGTTTTTTTAAAGGTCATAGCAGAGGTCAGGCTTAAAAAGCTACAGATTGATGCGTGGATGGATGGACGCTCAATGGGACAGAAACTAATCAAACCCTGGAAAATTCTTCAATATTTCAGGCTGTGTAGGAACCCTGAGTCAGGTGCTGGTAGGATCTCTGCAGTTAGCGCTGCCCACACTGAGCAGATAGGGGGGGGGTAAGCTGTGAGCGCGGTAATCCGTCAATCCGATGGGAGGAAAAGAGACGAGAGGGAAAACGGCGGTGAGAGTGAGTCAGCCTGGTATGTGGATTGATGGCTGAAAGGGGGGAAGCACCAAGGACAGTTTGAGCACAAGAGTGAGAACACATTTTTATGGAGTAAAAAAAAACGGCAGAGGAAAGACTTAATAGTGGGAGAGAGACAAAGAGGGAGGAAGAGGAGGGGAGATAAAACCCAGTGAATGCACTCTCCTCGTTTAATAGGGATTACAGGGCTGATCTGGTGCACTTTGCAGGACCCTTCGCTCCGTCATATGGCTCTATATTTAATTATTCTGTGCCTTTAAGAGGTCCGCCCCAGTCGCACACAAACCCAGACTCCCTGCAATAATCCAAACTCATTTTGAAACTGACACCAGATGGGGGCTGCCAGCCTGGCACCGGCCCCCGCTGGCCACTGGTCACTCTGTGTGTGTGTGTGTGTCCAGAAGGCCTGTGCTCACTCACTCTTGGTGAAGCGCGGCGGGTTGTCGTTGACGTCCGACAGCGTGATGCTGACCGTGGTGGTTCCTGAGAGCCCGCCCATCTGTCCCGCCATGTCTTTCGCCTGGATCACTACCTGGTAGTGCTCCTTCACTTCCCGATCCATGCCGGGCAGCGCAGTCTTGATCAAGCCTGACGATTAAAACACACACACACAAAAAAAAAACAGGTTTTAAGTTAATTTCATTTTAAAAACCTAAAACATGGAAACATTACCAGTTCAGAAAACCTTTAAAACAGAAAGTCAGCACTCCTTTATTAGCTTATTAGCCATTAGCGGCTCATTAGTCTGTTTTCCTCTGCCACCCTGAAGGCAGCTGCTTTGCATGAGATCACACTGTGAACCCGTCACCCTTCAAACAGGGTCACTTTGACAGCTTTGCACCTGACTTCTGGTTACACTGGGCTATGGAAATATCTTCCATCTCATTTTCCTATGAAAATCTGTTTAACAACACAAATAGGCCTGGGTTATGCACCATGTAGGTCATTAGAGTGTGTGGCTTAGGTAAACAAATCTTTATGGTCCAGCTGTTTATCCGACTTATTAGACCAGAGTCACAGATTTGATGATCTGAGACTTTGCTTGGTTAAAGCAGAAAAGACTCAACTTTAACTTGTTCTTCAGAGTGTAAACCAGAAAGAAGGAGATTCTCTCATCATTCACTGGTTGACAAAGCAAAATAATAGAAAGTCTGCATCATTTTCACATCATCAGCTATTAGAGATGCATCACTATCATTTTTTTAATGACTTGGACTTGGGGCTTGGCAGTTTGACCAAGTCTTAAGACTGTTTAATGGGTAAATTGACTCCTTATGCTATTCGATACAGTTAAAAAATATTGAACTTAGGAATTTCTGCCTATTTGCTATTTAATTTAGTATGAAAGCCTTAAATGTATGGATTGATTAACTGTCATTTATTTCATGCAATTTGGAAACAACTCCAATTCAATGACTTGTTGTACTGAATGTAAAAAGTTCAACTGAAGCCAATTCACTCCAATAAGCTGGTCAAATCTTTGTTCAGCAAAATTAAATCTAGTCCAGTTCAACACAATCAGATTCAGTGCAATTTAAATGTAAATAAATAAAATAAAATGCTGGATGACAAAATTATCTTCTCCCAGATTGTCTCAAAACTGGATGAAGTTCAGTTAAATTCAGTTCATACAAATAAATCTAATCTACCGTCATTATTAACAGCTTCAACTCAATCCAAACATTTACTAGTCTGATCAAATGCAACAGAAACTCAGTAAATAATAAAATGCTAAATGGTAGAAAAGTTGATTCTCTAAGGAGACCTATCGACTGCGTCTGATTACAAGCAGCACAACTAATTTCTATCAGAAGTAAAGTCCTAAATTACCAGATTAACTTGCATACAGTCCCATTTAATCCGGTTTGTTAATTGTCAATTATGACTAAATGCTGGAAAGTCATAGTAAGAACTTTGTAATTTAGATAAATTAACTTCACTTCAGCTAAATTAAGGTTAGTAATGCTGTGGGCCTTGATTTAATCTACGTAATCATATTTATGACATTTATAAAAAAAAATCCATCTCTAATTTCTTTTATTTAAATTTAAAAGCACTAATTAACACAAAAACATTTTATTTTAAAGTCATATTATTCAAACATACAGACGATTCAAAACCAAATACACCGATTTTAATGATGTTAAACCAAAAAAAAAGTGTGCGCTGTTCAAATCTATTCAAATAAACAATAATAATTTCTAAACAAGTCAATTTTAACCCAATCTAACCCAATTCTGATATTGTTTCAATAATTTACAGGTTTAATCCAGTCAGTTAAACTTATTCAGATTCAATTTGACTCAGTCCAAGTTAATTTAATCACAGCCGATTTAAATAAAATGACCTGATAGGAGCCAGTGGGTTGTGTCCAATCAGACAGAATAAAAACACCAAACACTGGTATCTATAGTTCAACTAATTTTACTACAAACCAGTTTGTTAAGCTAAATTTAGACATAAGATAATCTGAGAACATCCATTCATTTCATCCCAGCCTCAGGCCTTTTTTATGCTGAAAAATCCCATCAATAATCTGTAAAAGTGATGTTTGATTCTGAGATTATTCCAACTGAATTCATCCCATAGTGAACAAATTAAATCTGACCTTCCCCAATTCTTCACAATTAAAGTAATGTTCTGAATCTGATATATCAAACTAATCCTATTAGTAAAGTTAAATATTATGAGTTTTCATAAGGTGGAATAATGTTTCTTTGAGTAATCTAGTGGAATAAATTCCAGTTTGATCTAATTGGAAATAATTCAAAGTTGGCTGGTTTACTTGGTACTGCAGACATTCCAGTTAGATTTATAAATAAATAACCTGATAGTGCGCGAATCTGTCAGATCCAAGTCCATCCAGTTCAGTCCAAATGCTCAGATTCTGATGCCCTTGAGATTATATGCAGTCCTAATAAGTCCAGTTTGTTTGAGTGCAGCCCAGTTAAATCCCAGATTAAATAGAGTTTAGTCAGATTCAGATTAAGTTTAATCAGAGTTCAATAAAACTAAATCATATTTGAATTAAATATGATTTATTTCATTAAGAAAGGCCCAGTTGATCCAGCTGCGACTCAATCAGACTCTATATTAATGGCTAATCATCCAGAATTTGACTTAATCTACATGATGGTACTGTATGTTAAATAATATAAAGTTGAAAAGCAGCAGGTTATTAAGAGCAATTCCTCTGCAAAGAAACAGATGAAGCTGTCAGTGTTTGTTTGTCTGTTATTATAAATTGATTTTGCATTATCAATTATTCAATTCCATTCAGTTTATTTATATAGCGCCAATTCAGAACTCATCTCATCTCAAGGCACTTTACAGTTCATCAGATCATTCAGTCAAATTATTTCAAAGTTTTCTATCTAAGGAAAACCAGTTGATTGCATCGACTCATTGAATCAAATGCGATCTCTCACACTAAGCATGCTTGAAGCGAGAGTGGAGAGGAAAAACTCCCTTTTAACAGGAAGAAACCTCCAAGGAGACAGAAGCAGAGATACAAAAGGCTACTGTAAAAGGCGGCCCCGTCCAGGAAACACACAGCCAGGCAGATGAGCTCCGAGCCAAGTCCCATGTCAGAGGATGAAGAGAGCACATCCAGTTAGTCCCAGTCAGAGAAACAGGACTTCACTGAAAAACAGACCAATCTCCAATATATATAAAAAGGTGTTGATGGCAGCAGCAGAGCTGATATTTCTCTCCAGGATGGAGTCACAGCCAAACAGGAACAGATGAGGCGATTAGCAATTATCATCAGATTTATGTTTATACGGAACATGGAGAAAAACGAAACATAATAAAGATGGGACTTAAATGCAGTGAACTGAATGTTTTTAAATCTTAACCAAAATGAACCAGTCCAGCTCAGTGTGGTTTAATATAAAAGTGAAACCACTCAAAATCATATCAGTAACAGTCAGATTCATAGCAAAATCAATAATGTAAAGTCCAATTTAATCCAGTTCATTTGACTACAGCCTGCAGGAACTGAACTAATTAGTCCAGGATTGATCGGTTGATTGATGAGGAACACAAGTTATAGCCTCTCGTTTACTGCTTTTCCTCATATCGCTGCTTTTATGTACATTATTTTGCCTCGTTTAGACCATAATGTTTAAAAAAAGTTCAACCTAAGAGCAGCACAGATAAGCAGCTGGAGTGACTGCTGCCTGTTCTTGTCAGGAAACGTCAGCGATATTGAAAATGAGAGACGAGATGCAGCTGGCAGCTTTCCTGGCCCCTTCAAACGTCAGAAAAAGAAAAAAAAGAATAAATCAAACGAGCATATGGTCTAAAAATAACAACCAGCTCCTACAGGTGGAGGCTGCTGATCAGAATCAAAACATCAAACATGAAGCACCTGAAACTAAAATGGCTGCGATAAGATTTCTCTCTGTTGCGATTCCTGTATCTGCAGAACACATCATTTAAACACCTTGTATGATCTCAGAAACGCACAAAGGTATAAAAACCTCTAATTCCTTAACGCCTCTGAGGTGCTTTGAGGATAATTTATCATCTCCTTGGTGTTAATGCTGGGACCGCTTTAGAGGGATGCGGGGAAACACCTCTGGTTTGGCGTGGGGACAGAAGGACGCCGTATTTGGCAGCGCACTGAAAAGATGCTCCGTCTCCCATCAGACCCTACAGCCGGTCCGCTGCTAAACGGTTTGATTTGAAGGAGAGAAGCTGGTGGGAGTTCAGACTCAAACGGATGCAAATTCAATAAATTTCACCTTGGATGAAGCAGAACTTTCAGAAGTTCCCGCCGGAAGTAGAGGAAAAAAGCTGATTCTGTGAATTTTTAACGACGAGGGAGAAAGTGGAGGATGGCTGAGATCAACCTTTGTTTCCTCTTCCGTGGAAAACAATGAAACTTCCCATTCTTCTCCTCCTAACAATGAACTCTTTATCTGGCAGAACTCTGTGAGGAAAGCAGCGATGTGGTTTGTGATGGAGCTCCAGAAAGCAGCTCGCTCTCTGCTGCTACCTTTGTTGTTCCTTAATGACTACAATACCAAGAGAAGAGGAGGAGTGGGAAACAAATCCTGCTTATAACGCCATGTCCAGGCATGTCTTTGTGTAAGAGGGGATGTTAGCTTACATACCACATGTGGGATAAACCATATTACTGTTAATCCCCTCACTAATCTGCAAATGGCTTCTTTTTTCCCCCTCTGAATCTTTTGTTTAGACGTGAGCGGGATGACTTCCAAAGCGCGCCGTAATGATTAAAAGTAGATCTTTAGGACGGCTGATTTGCTGCAAATCCCACTTCCCTCCCAGATCCGCCCGGCAGCCGTATCGGGCGTGTTCCTGGGAAAATTAGGATGGTTTCAGAACGCTCTCTTGTCAGGGATTGTTTTAAATCAAACTGGCTTCTGAATATTTCTGTTTGCTTATGTTTTCCCACTATGGCCTCCTCCAGGCAGCATCCTGTCAGTAGGAGGACCAGCAAACCTCTGAAGCTTCGTTACAACAGACTGATGAGAAGTGCAGCTGAGATGGAAGATGCTGCTCTAACAGGATGCCTGGTTTCTGCAACAAAACTTTCTCTAACAAGAAGAACCAATCTATTGATCGCATTTTATACAGCGTATTAACAACATCCTAAAAGCTAATCGGTCCTAAATTGACAAAAGGTCAAAGTTTCATTGATTAAAAATAAAAAAAAATGAAAACCAATCTTCCAAATGACAACAAACCTCCTAAAACTAAGAATTTGACTTCGTTTTTTAAATTTGCATATTGATTCTGAAGAAAATGTAGAAATAAATATGTGTTCTGATTCTATGAAAAATATAACATTTGACTTTTAACAGACTCAAAAGAAAAACATGGAATTTTTAAGAAAAAAAAAGTTAATTAAAATGAACAAATAATAAACAGTGAAATTAAACGTATCATGGAAGGCAAAGGAAAATAAAATACAAACAGAAAATAAATTAATAATCTATATTTTAATTAGTGGTCAGCCGATATCGACGTTAACGTGCTGCAGACTCTTATTGCCGTTAATCTATTCACATAGTGGGGTTGGGAGCTGGGTCTATACTAATGATGACTTTCACCTTGATATGTTAGTACGGATGTATATCTGGGGGCGAGAAAGAATCAGTCTTTCTCGCCAACCTGTGTCGGCCTACTGTGAAATCACCACATCGAA